TCCCTCTCTTCTTCCTTTCCTTCCTTATTTATTTTTTTAAAAAAAGAGGTATTTATTTTATTTGAAAGAATTACACAGAGAGAGGAGAGGCTGAGAGAGAGGACTTCCATCTGCTGGTTCACACCCCCACTCTTCCACACGGGTGCAGGGGCCCAAGGACTTGGGCCATCTTCCACTGCTTTCCCGGGCCATAGCAGAGAGCTGGATCAGAAGTGGAGCAGCCAGGACTCGAACCGGCATCCATAAGGGATGCTGGCACTGCAGGCGGCGGCCTTACCTGCTATGCTACAGTGCCAGCCCCTTCCCTTATTTATTTTAATGGCACAGCAACAGAAAGGGAGAGACAAAGACAAGTCTTCCATCCACTGGTTTACTTTCTAGATGGCTGCAAAAGCCAGGAACGCCAGGACCTCCATCCCGATCTCCCACATGGGTGGCAGGGGCCCAAGATAGCCATCCTCCACCATCTCCCCATGTACATTAACAGGAAGCTGGATCAAAAGCAGAGGAGCTGGGACTTGAACCAGCACTCTGATATGAAATGTAGCATAGCAAGCAGTGGCTCAACCTGCTGTGCCACTGTGCTGGTCCCCACCATCTCCCTTCTTTATACCCTTTGAGTTGTGTGATATTTGTATGTATTAGCTCATCAAAAATTAAATAATTACACAAATAAGTAAAATACAATAAAATAACAGGTAGACAAAAATGAGTTTTGCAAAACATATGATAACGTAAATAAATAAAAGGAAATGAAGTATGAGTTTAAGTCCTCTCATGACCCTTGGAAGTCTGAAGTTTGAGTCTTTCATGGATTTGCTTAATTCATTTCTATCTCTGTAAGATTTACTTATTTCAAAGGCAGAGTGACACACAGAGGAAAAGACACAGAGAAAGAGATCGGATCTTCCATCCACTGGTTCACTCCGCAAATGCGCACAGTAGCCAGGGCTGGGCCAGGCTGAAGCCAGAGCCAGGAACTCCATCTGAGGCTCCCATGTGGGTGGCAGGGACCCACGCACATGAGTCATCCTCTGCTGCCTCCCAGGTGCAGTAGCAGGGAGCTGGGTCAGAGGCACAGGTGGGACTGGATCCCAGGCACTCAGACACACAATGTGGTCTCCCAAGGGCAGCTTAGCCCTCTGTATCACAATGCCCCTGTTCCTGTGGCTCTGATTAACAGCAATGGAAATTATTAACACCAATGAGAGAAGCAAGTGAAGAATATTAACTAATTCTGCGTCATCTCTAAACAACTCAATGGTCATTTTACCCTGTTTTCTTTTTTTTTTAATAAAAACTATACCAATGTCTTTTGGGTATAAGATGCTTATCAGATCAAGAGGGGTTCTACATCATTCCTCTGCTGGCCATTAATTTATAACCATTTATTCACAAAAAGTGGTGAAAGTGAACATTTTCATTTTTTACTTGTGAGTCCTTTAACCACAGGGTCTAAGAAATTCTTGGCTATAACAGAGATGGAAGAACATATTTAGTCCCACTCCTAAAATGCTGAAAAGAGAAAAGCAATCATTTTGTTAAAAACAAAAGCCTGTTGGTGGCGGGTGGCAGGGTAAGCACATACAATTTTGTGGCACAATGGTCTAATTGCACAGTGGAGTCAACCAGGTCTGGGGGGGGGGAAGCACCAGAAGGCTCTCCACGCATTCCTCCCCACTGTGACCTAGGAGTGTATCTGGCTTCCCTGCCACACAATGCACACCTCCACTTTAGGGCTGCCATTTTTCTATATCCATGGCCCAGCACAGTGCCTGCTCCATAACAAGGACTTTATCGTCTTTGAATTGGATTCAAAACCAAAAGTTTGAAAACAATTGTCTAAGACTGTAGTTCTTATTTTTTTTTTCCTGACTAATGTTAAGGAGACTTTCTCCAGAAAAAGGCACACATCCAAGCACGCAAATATTGGCGTGTAATTTCACGGTAGTTGTGGGATATCTGCTGTTCTCTAGATCCACAAGGAACTCAGGGCTTCTAGATTAAGAAATTCTTTATGTTTGGAATACACAATCCCAGAGACAAGTGAAGGAATCTTCAGCAACATTCCCTGCCTTTTTTTTTTTTTCAACAAAACCATGTTTATGTTTCATGTAGAAATTTCCAGTACACCATGCAGAAATCTGTACATATGTCAAATTTATCCATATTGCTTTAGATTCCCATTCAAATAAGGCATTTTTCAATTATTGAAAAAAGGGCATGTTCATAGTAAAATAGTGATTTTAAAGAGGATATATTTAACAAATTCTAATTAACTGTTCTCTAATAACCAAGGATTGTGAAGGACAAAGTAGAATCACTCAAGGAGGTTACAATATGCTGGGTGCGTGCATGATAAACCTGGGTGTTTGATTAAAGTTTTTGTGTGTATGTTTAATGAAGACAGCTGTGGACACAGATGTAAAGGCACAGGGCCAGAGCTGTGGCGTAGCAGGTAAAGCCGCCGCCGGCAGCACTGGCATCCCATATCAGCACCGGTTCGAGTCCCGGCTGCTCCACTTCTGATCCAGCTTGCCGCTATGGCCTGGAAAAGCAGTGGAAGATGGCTCAAGTCCTTGGGCCCCTGCATCCGCATGGGAGACCTGGAAGAAGCTCCTGGCTTCTGGCTTCAGATCAAAGCAGCTCAGGCTGTTATGGCCATCTGGGGAGTGAACCAGTGGATGGAAGACCTCTCTCTCTCTGTCTTTCTCTGCCTCTCCTTTTGACTCTGTGTAACTCTTTCAAATAAATAAATAAATCTTAAAAAAAATAAAAACCAATTCCTTTGCTTTGATACAGCTGATACTAATTATTTTTTTTTTGAAGATTTATTTATTTATTTGAAAGGCAGAGTTATAGAAAGGCAGAGCGAGCGAGAGGTCTTCCACCTGCTGATGCACTCCCCATATGGCCGCAACGGCCAGAGCTGCATGGATCCACAGCTGGGAGTCGGGAGCTTCCTCCAGGTTTCACCCATGCAGCTGCAGGGGCCCAAGGACCTGGGCCATCCTCCACTGTTTTCCCAGGCCATAGCAGAGAGCTGGGTTGGAACTGGAACAGCCGAGACTAGAACCGGTGCCCATATGGGATGCCGTAGTTTCAGGCCAGGGCATTAACCTGCTGTGCCACAGCGCCAGCCTGCAGGCAGCGGCTTTACCTATGCCACAGCACTGGCCCTCTCATTCTAGCAGAAATGTTCCTACTAAAGATGAACAAAAAATAAACACATTGATGGTCATTTAAAGAAAATGAAAGTGTATGTACACCCTTCTTGATTTTATTCTCACCAATCACTTGTAAGAAAAGGCATATTCAATTTCAAGGGGTTATCTGGTTTCAGATTCTTACCTGTAATAATGTGCTGGAGGAGAAAGAAGCCACGATCTCTGGACCTACTCAGATGAGACAGGGTTTCTCGTCTAACATTCTTAGGAGCTCAGCTAACTATGCTTAAACCCAATTTGAAGGATTAGTATTTTTTATGAACTGGATGTTTATGTCTTCCCAAAATTCCTGTGTTGAAGCTTTCTTTAACCCTGTGATGGTATCTGGTCGGGCCTGTGGGAAGTCATTAGATTTATAGGATGGAGTCCTAAGGATGGGATTAGGACCCGTATAAAAAGACACCACAAGGCTTGCTCCCAGTGGCTGGCTGGCTGGCTGTCTGCAAGCAAGAATGCCCTCAGCAAGAAGTGACTCTTTCAGTACCATGAGGGTAGGACCTGCAGAACTGTGAGAAACAAATCTCATTATTATTATTTTTTTCTGCAGCCATCATGTAAGAGCTAAAGACGTCCCTCTGTCATCACATCCTGGTCTAAGTAGCTCAGGGCAATTCTTAGTTGTTTATACAACATGCAACACTTCTACTAGAGAAAATTCATATTTGGGGCATAAAATCAGGACTTCTCCTTCTCTGCTCTGTAGCATCATAAGATTAATCCTCTAGGAATCAAACTTACTATACATTAGCACGAGATGTTTAAGAACTTCACCTTAGCAATGGAACTGTATCCGAAAAAAGAGCCTGAAAGAGGCCTACATCTCTCAGAGACTGTATTAAATGTGCTTAGTACATATACCTCAGGTTTAGGTTTGCCTAGTTACTATTCTTTTTATTTTATTTATTTGAAAGACAGAGTTACAGAGCAAGACAGAGCCAGAGAGAGAGGGAGAGAGAAAGAGATCTTCCATCCGCTGGTTCACTCCCCAGATGGCTGCAATGGCCAAAGCTGAGCTGATCTGAAGCCAGGAGCCAGGAGCTTCTTGCGGGTCTCCCAAGTGGGTGCAGGGGCCCATGGACTTGGGCCATCTTCTACTGCTTTCCCAGGCCATAGCAGAGAGCTGGGTTGAAGTGGAGCAGCCAGGACTTGAACTGATGCCCATATGGAATGCTCTAACCCGCTGTGCCAGTCTCGGCCCCCCAGCTACCATTCTTATACTTAACCCTTCAAAGCGACTCAGCGACTCCCAGGGAAAAACAAGCAATGGCTGTGCTCAAAAAGGCTTTTAAAAGTGAGTCCCTGACCATGCTAGTGAACTGTTTTTGTGTGTAAGTACTTGCTTTTTGTTGTTGCACTTTGGTAAATTCTAAATACTGGAAATAAACCCTAAATAATAAAACCAGCACTGTGGCACAGTGGGTTAAGTCGCTGCTTGTGACCCTGGCACCCCGTAGTGGAGTGCTGGTTTGGGTCCCAGCTTCTCCCCTTCCCATCAAGCTCCTTACTGACTCGCCTGGGGAAACAGTGCAGGATAGCACAAGTGCTGAGGTTCCTGCCACCCACGTAGGAGACCAGCATGGAGCTCCTGGCTCCTGGATTTGGCCTGGTCCAGACCTGGCTGTCGTGGCCATTTGGGGAGTGAACCAGGGGATGAAAATTCTCTTACACACACACACACACACACACACACACACACACACACACCATGGTGCTTTTGTTTTCTCATGCATTTCAGTTTTAACATGAAAATATGAAAGAAATGTGAATTCATCCTCATGGTAATAATACAACTTTATTGTCTGTAGCCTTTTCCACACAAATCATTATTAGTTTTTCCATGTGAAAGACATTAAGGTTTAAAATGGTAAAGTTATTGTTAAAAAGACACATTGGGCAGTAGAAATAGCTGAAGAGAGTTTTTTTTTTTTTTTTTTAATCTGAAAGTAGACAACCGAAGAGTCTAGGGGAAAACAGATAAACAGATTTCCAGGTTGCTGAGACCACAAAAACAGCCTTGGGGACCACAGGAGGTGGTGTGGGGTGAGGAGGGGCCAGGCAAATTATCTCACAGTGTGGCATTTCATGTGGATGTTGAAGGTATTTGCTTGGCACTAATAATCTTAGAATTTCCGTCTGTGTTGCTATGGCTCTTGATTTCCTGTTGTCTATTCTTTTATTATGCAACATAATAAATGTTTCATTTAGCACAAAGTCCATTTGAACTAGACTACAGAAAGGTTCGAATTCTGTCCCTGGCCAGCAAAGTCATAGCTCAGGTATGCAGTGGGAAGTAACTTCAACACCCATGCGGCATTTGTTCAAAGTCCACTTTATTTATTTATTTTTTTAAACTTCTCCAGCTTGGTTTCCTCATTGAGTAGATTCCTAGAGAAAAAGGTGGAGTTCAGGCCCCAGTAAAAGACAGACCCGAGGGCTCAGCAGACAGAACAGGGGGCCGAGGCCTCCTGCCCCGAGTGGTGGGGTGAAGGCTGCACCTAACCTCCGGAGGTGCGGTCCTTGAGTACCTCTGTCCTGAACCCACTGCTCCTCTTGAGTTCCTGAACTCTTCTTGCTCCACCTCCCCGTGGCTCTCTCCCTGCGGCACTTGAAATAGCCATTTGTGCGTGTGCACCTGCCACTCTGGGCAAGTGGTGAGGAAAGCGGGCAGAGTCCTTCTGCTCCTGAGAAACACGGGGAGGGAAAGGTACGCTGGGACTTGCAGGGTGTTCTAAGTGGCAAGTAACCCCGCATACTCACAGCGTGGCATGCTGTAACGGAAATGAGACCCTAACGCAAGACACAAAATCCTCTAACACAAGCTATCAAAGCCTGTGATAGACATCGGGGAAGTGCAGTTATAGCTTCAAAGGCTTTCAGACTCTCCAACTGGACTTTATAAAGTGAAGACAAACCCAGATGGAGGACTATAACTGAAGTGTGGTAGAAAGCCTGCAGTCTTTACTGAGGCACACTGCCTTGGCCTTGAGGTATGTAGGCAAAGGGGTCACCCCTCACTGTGAGACACAGGATCAAAGCTGATGCAGGGTTCCAAGGAAACATCGGCCACAGGAATGTGATGATTCATTTATGGGTCCAGAAATCCCAAGTACAAAACTTCAAGATAGAAGAAGGATCAAATTATAGCATGTATGTGATTCAATTTCAAAATTCTTAGCCCTCTTACATTATATTATCTAGATCATAATAGTAAAAAATCAAATTATATTCATATGAAACTTTTATAAAAAGAAATCAAATCCATTTTTATGAAATTTTATAGTACAATTATTTGCCAGTGGGTCTTTTCTTAGGTCACAGTATTTATAATTCCATTTACATCTGGATAATTTTTAAAATTAAAAAGCAAAAGGAAGTCAATAGAAATCTAAATTTTCATTTGCAAAACTCCCTTCAGCTTCCAGGCCAGTGACACATGGCGACGCCGGCTTGTCCTCCAGACAGGGGCTGCGACCAAAGGTCCTCCGCTCAGGGAGCCTGCAGGCCCCGGCTCATTAGGAACGCTTTCTGGTTTGGCTCACGTTGCAAGAAATTTTGGAGCATGTCCATGCCGTCCAGAGATCCCCCAGGTCTCAGGATTAGGTTTCTGTATTTCATTCCAACCTAATAAAATAAAACATCATGCCTAATAACTCACGGTCACAGCAATCCTCAAATCCCTGGATGCGAAAGGCAAAGGGGCAGGGCTGAAGGAAAGGCACGGCGGCTTTCCTGTCTGGATGGTCTCCTGCGCCTACACCACAGCTCTGCCCTCTTCATTTACTTATTTTGGTAACTAGGAGATGTGGAGCTGAAACCTCAGGTCTCCCACGCTGCTCTCTGTCATTGTCTTGTTTCCTTAGACTCTCACCAGTGGGCTGACAACATGAGCAAACAGAGTAGCGTGGAGTGGCTGAGTGGAACGTGGAGCACATCCCTGTTGGCTACTCGATCTCAAATGTGACTCCAAAAGGGTGAGCAAAGCATGTGTTCAAGAACACTACAAACAGGGGTGTACCTGTGTACCCAGGAACGGCAGCCCAGCTGCACTCAAGTGGCTCCACTGGCGATTAGGAGGGGCTCACAAAAAACAAAACAAAAGACATTACTTGGGACGGGGAGCCGGAGAACAGTGTAACACCCTGAGTGCGTTCTTGCAATCTGTTCCCTTGATATAAATAATAATTAAAAAAAGACCCTGGGTGGAGGGGCCATGCAGGGAATGAGGACCTCGGTCAGTTCACTTGGAGGGAGGGAGCTGAAACCATGAAACTCATCACAGTTCCTCTGCCTTTTTTTTTTTTCAAACTTGCTTAGCTTTTTTTTTTTTTTTCCAAAGATTTATTTATTTATTTGAAAGTCAGAGTTACACAGAGAGAGGAGGAGAGGCAGAGAGAAAAGTGGTCTTCCATCCAATGGTTCACTCCCCAGATGGCCGCAACAGACAGAGCTGCGCTGATCAGAAGCCAGGAGCCAGGAGCTTCTTCCGGGTCTCCCATGCGGGTGCAGGGGCCCAAGGACCTGGGCCATCTTCCACTGCTTTCCCAGGCCACAGCAGAGAGCTGGACTGGAAGAGGAGCGGCCGGGACTAGAACCGGCGCCCATATGGGATGCTGGCACTTCAGGCCAGGGCATTAACCCACCGTGCCACAGTGCCGGCCCCTCCTCTGCTTTTATTTATATAAGCACACAAGCAGATGTACTCAAAGAAAACAGCATTATTCAAAAACTTCCACTACCCTTTTAGTGAAGCAAGACAAGGCAGTGAAATGCAACTCCAAGTAAACACATGAAATAGTTCACAGAGTGCCACTCCAGTTTGTATCTATTATGTTACTTGATCAACAGGAGCAGTCATTATTTATATATTATATTTTTTTTTTTGAGTACAAGAAGAGTTAGAGAACTGCCAGAGACCTAATTAACTTCTGACTTATAAACAAGGTTCTGCTTGGCCCGACCGTCAGAGATAAGTCTGGCTAAACTGTTAAGGAAATAAAGCATGGAGGAAATCCATCAAGTTAGATTTAACGTTCTACAGGTCCATAAAATCAAAATTTTGGGGGCCAGAGTTCTGGCACAGAGGCTAACGTCAGCATTCCATATGGGTTGCTGGTTTGAGCCCCAGCTGCTCTACTTCCAGTCCAACTCCCTGCTAATGGCCTAAGAAAAGCAGCAGAAGATGGGCCAAATGCTTAGGCCCCTGCACCCATGTGAGAGAAGACGCTCCTGGCTTCAGCCTGGCCCAGGGCTGGCCATTGTACCATTTGGGGAGTGAAACAGTGAATGCAAGGTCTCTCCCTCTCTCCTTTTCTGTCCCTCCCCTTCTCTCTGTAACTCTTTCAAATAAATAAACAAATCTTTAAAAAAAATCAAAATTTTTGGCTGTAAACAGAAATCATTTGTATCTTTTTAGTCATCTATAGGACAATATCTAACATAACAATCTGGATCCCAATTAGGAGTAAGTAAAAATTACCTTCTCATAAGCTCTAGGGTAGCACTGTCATCCTTTGCTGCCTTCCCAGGCCATAATCAGAGAGCTGCATGGGAAGTGGAGTAGCTGGGACTCTAATCAGTGCCCATCCTGGATGTCAGCATTGCAGGCTGTGACTTAACCTGCTGTGCCACAGCGCTGGCCCCGACTGCAGTTACAGTTACACTAGGTTCTTTCAAGTGCGGAACGCACAAGTGACTGCCACAGTGAACAGGGCTGGCCCAACAGCATCAGGTCATGTTTAAGTGTTCTAGTACGACGTTGAAGAGGCACAGAGTAATCTTGTTCTTCTTTAAGTTCTGGATACATTTTATTAAATAGAGGGCCTGCAGTCACTGACACTGGACTTACTGAAACCTTTGGTGATGAGGGTTTGGGGATAGTTTGTTCCAGAAAAAACAGAAATGCTTATCACCCCTGGCATGGTTTGCAGCAATGCATGCCGTCACAATGGTAGCCTAGAATCTGAAGTGTGAGCGAGGGCCACTCTCGTCATGGGCTTCATTATCCCAAGAAGGAGCGTTTCCGAGCTTTTGAATCCAACCACAATTTACTTCACCTCCCTTTCTTTTCTGGCCCAATGTGTCTACACTGGATGTTAAAGGAGTGGGTGGAGGATAGCCCACAATAGCCAGAGGTAGGCCAGACCTAAGTCACGAACCTTGATCTCAATCCAGGTGTCTTATGTGGGTGGCATGGACCTACGCACGTGAGCGATCACCTGCTGCCTCCCGGCGTGCGCACTAGCGGGAAGCTAGAAGTAGAAGCAGAGCCAGGACTGAAACTAGGCACTACGACGTGGGTAAACACCTTCGACAACACTCTGGGAAGCGGGTTTCCCAGGTGGCATTTTACTTGTGCCCAATGCCTGCCCCATATCTTTTATTTAGTAAAAATACATGTCATTCCAAGCCGGCGCCGTGGCTCAATAGGCTAATCCTCCACCTCGCGGCGCCGGCACACCGGGTTCTAGTCCCGGTTGGGGCGCCGGATTCTGTCCCGGTTGCCCCTCTTCCAGGCCAGCTCTCTGCTATGGCCAGGGAGTGCAGTGGAGGATGGCCCAGGTGCTTGGGCCCTGCACCCCATGGGAGACCAGGAAAAGCACCTGGCTCCTGGCTCCTGCCAGGATCAGCGCGGTGCGCCGGCTGCAGCGGCGGCCATTGGAGGGTGAACCAACGGCAAAGGAAGACCTTTCTCTCTCTGTCTCTCTCTCACTGTCCACTCTGCCTGTCAAAAAAAAAAAAAAAAAAAAAAAAAAAAAAAAAAAAAAAAAAAATACATGTCATTCCATAGACATAATAGGAACATTAATGAAAGTCTAAATGAAGTTTTTCTTTTTCAAATTCCCCTCCAAAATGCTAATATCTGACAAAGAATTTTCATTTTGTGCAGAGAAGTACAGTGTAGGTCGCAGAGCAAGAGCAAGCGTTTGCGGGGCTGGATGGTGCTGCACAGACAGCGCCGGCCCCCTCGGCACGGCAGAGCTGTTTCAGAGCACAGCACTGTGTAGTCTCAGTCTGAGGTTCAGGGCTGCTCAAGTCTTCCCCTGCTCATGGCTCCAAACAAGTTGATTCAATTTCCTGAATTACAGAGCAATGGCCTTTTAATAGTTTCATTTCCTTTGCAATGAAGTTTTGAGAAGAGTTTAGGAGTCATTTTGGTAACAGGATCTTGCTTTTCTTAAGAGAGAAAAAAAATGAGTTAAGTGAATTTTTGTGTTTTAGGCAGGTGCCCAGCCTTGTAGCTGAGAACACAGGGTGTGGGAGACATGCCACAGGTGCAAGGAGTCTTTGTCACAAGTTGTTCTACCACAAGAAACTTTAACTGTAAGGGAAGTAGGAAGAGAAGCAGCAAGAGGACTTTTCATGCGCCAAATCCCCGCCAGGGGCACCTGTGAGTGTGCAGAAAGAACTCCTGTTTGTCGGGCTCTGGAGGGAAACCAGCGTCAGTCACCTCTGTGGTGTGTGACCCTGGAAGACAAGCAGGTAGCTGCTGGCAACTGTGCAAATCTCTCTAACACTGATGGTTGCTGAAGTAAGATCAAAAGCTCTGGGTCAGACCCAGGTCTGAATCCTGGCTCGATGCTCAGCTGAGACCTTGCTTCTTGGCTTCATCATACGTAGGATGGGAATATTCCTATCTTACTGGATGATCTCAGTACATTGCCCAGTCCCTGACATAATACCCGATATACAGAGGTATTCAAAAACCCTTAGCCCTCCTGTATTTTGTTGTTTTCTCACACTGCCCCCAAGTTCAGTGACTCTTATATAGTCAGGGAAACACATGGATTCCTGGCTTGGCATTTCCTGATTTAGTTCTGTTCCCTAGTAAAGCCTGAGAAAGGTACAAGAGACTCCATCTCTATTGGCAAGAAAGAGAAGATATAATCCAGTAGGAATATGAAGTAGGAGAGGTATCCAGGAACATGGTGCTGTGAGGTAATATTTCAATAGCAATAACAGTCCAAATGAAGGATGTGACTCAGGGATCAGCAATGAAAGGATCTAAATGGGAAGCAGCAGGTCTCCTGCTGCCTTGGGCATCTCTGAAGCAGCGCATCAGGATCCCTCCCCTTTCAACTGACCCTCCCCACTCCCGCCATCTTGGCTGACTCTGGGGAGGAGTCACCGTTGTCTTCTTCCTGGGCACAGGCAGGTGACGGCGATCAGGTAGTGGCTTTCAAACTGGTCTTTGAAGCCTTTCTTTCCACAGCCCACAACTCCCTCCCACCAGCATGTCTTTTGTTTTCTGTGGGGGCTGGGAGATTGTGGGTGGGAAGAGAGAACACCTTTGTCAGCACAAAGCGGGAGGGAGAGGGCGAAAGACAGGAGCTGGTAGCCAGGGAGATGGCAAAGGAATAGCAGTGGAAATGGTTCCCGGATCAGAAGATGGCTTCTGGAAGCCTTTAGAGTCCAACCTGAGGACAAACAGATAAACCTTTATTGATGGGGGGGAGGGGGGGGCAGGAGATTAGGAGGGAAAAAGTGGCCGGGAGAGCTGCGTGTCTTGGTGGGCAGAGGTGTGGAAGCAGAGGAGGCGACAGCCAGTTAGGTCCAAAGAGGCACTGCCAGGTGAAGTAATCATTCAATGACACAGTTCTGCAGAGGGCACATGGAGCTGAGAG